ATTCATAGTATTCAAGTAAATTACTCTTGGATACATTACCACAGAGAAATTGTGCTAGAGTATTAAATTTATTGATTATTTATTTTCTCAAAATAATTCTGGTCTCACTTCATTCTCCTTGAATATATAAAGAAGGGAACCTACATAATAAAAATGAGATTTAATATTAGAACTTGAGGGCCATATTATATCTCTGAAAAGTTTTTAACATATTCCATATCGTAAAGATGAAATTGTTTTCAGCCTTTGCAACATAGTTTGATTTTTAATAATAAACTTACTTTTATACTCTTAAGCAAGCTCAATAAATTATTTTGTAAAAGTTATAAAATCTAAATTGCTGCTTTATTGTACTCTAATCTTAAAATTATAACTTTTTAACAACAAATGTTTAATTTTATTCTTTTGTTGCAATATTTGACTATAACTTGTAATAAAGGATTCATATTAATAATTTTACTCATCGATATCATTTAAAAAGTCTTTAATATTTAATTAATTCTAAATAAAGATTTTTTTATTGATAGGAATTACTCTTATTATCAAGTTAGAATGTTTCCTTCAGAATGTATTTACTTAAAGTAGTTGTTAATATTAAGCTTATAAATGCAAAAATTTCAAGAATAATTTATATAAAAATAAATTAACAGTAGAATCAAAAGATTCTGGTAATAATTTCAGTTGAATTAGAGATAAACTGAATAATTCTTAAAATTATAAGGAATAAACATTTTTTAGAAAGGAAATTAAATGCTACAGGGTGTATTGTCATTTATATATAATATAAAATATTGAGCAAATATGATCAAATTTATATATTTTTCCTTTTAAAAGTAGTCTTAACGAATTTTTGATTTGTTTCGAAGTTTTAAATTTTAACAATTTCATTTTTTCATTCTTATTATGATTTCAAAGAATAGGAGACAAATACTATAAAAATATAAATTATTTATTAATATGATATTTCAATATATGAATACGCTTCATAACTTTGATAATTATTTCTATATGTAATCCTTCTCGTTTGATCCTTGTTTTAATGAAGCCAAATAGAATTATTTAGCTTCTTGTTTGTTTCCTAATTCAAATAGTGAATCAGCTATATGGAAATTAAATTAAGAATGGTTTACCTTTCAGTCTAAGTCTTAAAGGAGTAATATTAATAGAAAGGGCTTAATCATACGAAAAGATGGCTTCCTCATATTTCTTTTATTAATGTAGTAATAAGCCTAAATTATAAAGTAGTTTACCTTTATTACTAAAAGCAGAAGCAAAATTAGGATTTATGGAAATAGCTTTGTCGTAACATTCAATTGCTTCTCCATATTTATTTAATTTGCCTAATGCATTACCTAAATAATAATGTAAAACAATCAATTACCTTTATTATTCCAGAAATCAGCATCATTAGGATTTATGGAAATAGCTTTGTCGTAACATTCAATTGCTTCTCCATATTTATTTAAATTGTATAATGCAGTACCTAAATAATAATGTAAAACAATCAATTACCTTTATTATTCCAGGATTCAGCCTAATTAGGATTTATGGAAATAGCTTTGTCGTAACATTCAATTGCTTCTCCATATTTATTTAATTTGCCTAATGCATTACCTAAATAATAATGTAAAACAATCAATTACCTTTATTATTCCAGGATTCAGCCTAATTAGGATTTATGGAAATAGCTTTGTCGTAACATTCAATTGCTTCTCCATATTTATTTAAATTTCTTAATGCATAACCTAAATAATAATGTAAAACAATCAATTACCTTTATTATTCCAGAAATCAGCCTAATTAGGATTTATGGAAATAGCTTTGTCGTAACACTCAATTGCTTCTCCATATTTATTTAATTTATGTAATTCCACTCCTAACATAAAATAAATATGATTATACCTTCATTAAATTTAATTTAAGCCTCAATAATCGATTACTACTCTTTTTATTCATTCTGTTTATTTTATACTTCTATTTTAATATCATTTTAATTAGCTTCATCAAATTTATCATCCACTTTCTTTTATTCTTATACAATATTTTTAATTGTTTCAAAAATATTATTTAATTATATTATTTGTTATTCTATTATATTAATATAAAAAAGATACATTTCTAATTTTCTTTTTCCTTGGAGTAATATTATTTTATATTATGTATTTATGACTTAAAAGTCAAATAGTCTT